TCTCACTCATTTTACCCTTTCATAAAATGCCAAGTCTAGCCACAGCACAGTTACACGCTGCAGAAACTGCAGCTCAACAAATGAGGGAAGGTACAGAATAAGCAACAACTGAAGGGAATAAAAAAAGTGGCTAAAGACTTGTGATCAAAACATTCCAAAAAATGCTAGAAGAGGACTGGGAATTACTAATTACTCAGAAAAGGTTGTCTATGCATGCCCAAAGGATAGATTTTCCTGACAACACATTGTCCAAGGCAGGCAATGGAAATATTCTTAGGCAACTGTATCCAGAACAGAAGTTCTCACTATTACAGGTTCACTTCCTCTTACCTTAACCTGACACTTGAAAAGCTGAACTATCCTGTAAAATAATCATGCTCAAGGGGAAATCCTTTAGGATACCGAGTCAGGTTTGACTCATTCGACTTTCAGTATCAACCCCGCTGTGATAACAGCTGACTCACACCCAGTTACGCGAAATGCTTTTTCATCAACGTCATCTCTTAAAACAATAAATGGACTAAAACTAAAAGCTAAAATAGATGTCCTCTGAATGCAGACATACTGAATCCAGAGGAAGATAACTTTGTATTTGTCTTCTGCTCACAACATGCATCAACAACTTGGATGTTAACTTCTACCATAAGTATGAAGAATCTTGATACACATCCTACAAAAGCTTCTGTAGTATCAGATGTTTTGCTATACAATGCTTTAAGCTTCAGCACAAAAAGCAGGAACTAGTAAAGATAACTACATAGAATCCAGAAGGCAATCAAACAATCTATAAACTTGCTGAAAATACTAGGAGCTGCGTGGAGTATAACACCAAATTATGTAGTAAGCATATTTGCCAAATTCACCTCCAAGACATTTCTACTCCCAAAAAGACAACTACATTAGCGATTTTGTGAGTCACAGGGAAGTCTGAAGCTAATTAATTAACATCATTTATAAAAATAAGTCTAACTATTATTTGATACTGAAATACCTCAATAGTTTCTGGAGTCATCCAGAGTTGGGTAACAAGACAATGCTTTGAAATGTTTTTTGTGCTCAGGATAATGCAATTGCTAGAGCTCCTACAACAGTATTGATCAGAAATTCTGCGTTTCGCGTATGTAGAATTTTTTTTTATATGTGGTTCTACACACAGAATGCAAGACTACATGGAGCGCTATGAAAGGCAGACAGGCTCATATACATTAAGTTATTTTTCAGTCAGTTCAAGAGCAACTTCATCCTACAACAAAAAAAAAAAAAAAAGAGACCAACTGAAGAAACTGAGGGGCTAGAAGTGAAGAAAAGCATACGCTGCAAAGAGTTCAGAATTCAACAGAAACAGAAAGTCACATTTTGGTCCCATATTTCAGACTCAAAATTCCACAATTCTCTATGCAAGAATTTCTGCCGAATGACTATGCAACAGCTTCATGTTGCTAGGAATTAAAAGAGAAAGCCTGTTAAAAGCTAATACCCAAAGAAAAGTAACAGGAATCTTTGAAGTGCTCCACCGTGTCATTTTCTCCATTTATACATATACTTCTACAAAGCACTGTGCAAAGTACTAGTTCCAAGGATAAAGAAGAAGGAAAAAAAAAAAATTACATCTCTCTCTTAGTAGACACAAGCATTTCACTTTCCTGGAGGAATTCCAAATACCACTCCAGCCCACAAGCCTCCTTGTACCAGTCGATGTGAAGGTCTCTTCTGAAGTCACATGCCCATGAACTATGCCCCTACTCCATTAGTATTAGCAACATGCAGGTACCTTAATTATTTAAGAATACTGAAATATCAGCTCCTTTAGGTAACAAGGATACAAAAAATACAGAAAAAAACTTACACTGAGAAAAAAATCATGGGCCTTCCTTAACCAAATGATCCATAAACAACTGAATGTAATTTACTAAATAGCAATAGTGTTAGAACCTTCTCTATCACATTTTAACAAAGGAGTACATCTTAAGATTCGTGGGAGGGGGGGAATCATATTTAGGATGATCAATACATTTGCCCTGCAAATTACTCATTACACAGCAAGTAACCATTTTCTGGTACTGAGAGCAACACTACAAATTAAGAGACTTAAAAATCTATTTTAAGCACGAGCACCATCCTACTGTGCAACCTTGGGCAAATCACATCTTCACTCACTGCCTCTTGAGATGAGATCCTTGAATTAAGAGTTCTTACAAAGACTTCACTAATGCATTAACTTTACCAGATGAGACTAAATAAAGGCATCTCCTTATCACTAGCTTACATATGCCATCCACATTAAAACAAAAGTTAACTACATGGATAAATAACCTTGTATCTAAAGTAACACAAGGATCCAATGAGTAGCTTTCAAAGCCTGAAGTCCTGGCACAAGTAGGAAAAATTCCTGTTCCTGGGATCAACCAGCACAGTCAAGCAAGCAGCGTACATCCTTTGACTACTGGTACAGAGGACAATAAAACACTAAGATTCTGGAGAATACGTTTTAACCAGCAGTTCTCTCACTCAGTGGTTTGGGTTTTTCTTTTTAACACTTGTCTACATTTTCAGTTAGGCAACAACACAGTTACATCAAGTTTCAGTACCAGGCTGTGCCTAAGTTACACTCGAAGTCAGTTTTTAACTTTTTTTTCTACAGCAAACCTGGAAACTGAGTTTTTTCCATCACTTTCACAGTTCCTACTCCTAAAAGGAAGAAATATTAGAACTCTATTAAAAGGCACCCAACTAACTCTAAGCACAATCAGTGGAAAACTTCCTACAAGGAAAGCTGGGTATGGCTTTATAAAGAAATAGAGCTTTCTTATGTTACCCAAGTTCCCATATAAACCACATTCTGTCCATACAGTCCCAGTTCAACTTAGGTTTAGCTTTAAAGTTAGCTTTAGCTATGCGCAACAGCCTCTGAAGGGCTGGAAGCGAAAATGAAAAAACAGTGGATCCTTCATTGCCCAATAAGGGAAATTAACAAGCTTAGGGTTTTAGCTTTATAAGTGTGACGCTTTAATTACACACATTAGAACTGCCGCACCAAAGACTGACCCCGCTTCACAATACCCGCACTTCGGGCTAGAAAAGCAGCCACCTGGGATCCAAATCGGCTAAGGCTTTGTTTCAGGCTATGCTTTTCCTTTTTTCCCCGACACGGGACCGATCGGCCAGGTGGCACGCCAGGTCACGGCACTAATCCGGCTTCCCGGCAGCCTCTCCCTGAGCAGCAGGGCCCGCTGCCCCAGCCAACCCCCGGCACTGGAAGGGGAGCCTCCCTCCGCATTACCTCTACGGGAGTCCTACTGCCAGAGCGGGAGGAAAAAAGCCTCCCTTCCCTCCCAGGGCTTTCGGCCACGGAAGGCGGCACCGACACACCCAGGCCCACCCCGGCAGCACGGCCTCCCCGCCTCCGCTCCCTCTCACGTCTCAAGGATACATTTTCGAGGCGAGGGCTCCCTCCAGCCTTGGCTGCTACTGAATCCGGCACCGCCTCCCCCTCCGGGCGGCCTCCCCGGGGGGTTGCTTCCCCGATCGCCGTCGCCTCGGCTCCTACCCCAGCGCCCTCCGCCCCTGTAGGGCCGGCCTCGGAAGCGGAATCGGTCCAGCGCATTGTGGCTG